TTGTATGGCATAGAGGACTGTCATTGAACTTTTCCGGATTGCTTTGCACCCTGCCCATCTTGGGTGCCTCTGGCCTACAAGGGGCTGGCCAGGGTAGGCACTGGGGCTGAGCTGGGTGGCCTGGAGCTGTTTTCTACTACATTGAAGATGTTGGAGCTCTGTGATGATCACAGGGATACACTGTCTAGATTCCCCTTCAAAGGAGGACTGTTGGTCAGCTGCCAGATCTAAATGGCATTCTTTAGCCTCAGTGAAGTGTCTGGCCCGAGGGCACACTCTTCTTGGGGAAGACCATACCGGGTGCCTTAATGAGGCAGTATTAAGGCCTAGCTGGTTGGGCCCATGGTGGGACAGCTCTGATGGCCCACACGTGCTGCAGAGCTCCTTGAGGCCAGGCCTTTGTCCAGCCTGCAACAAAATTCAACTCCTTCCTCTGCACAATCCTGCATCTGCCCCTTCTCTTCCACAGGTGTCTAACCCAGTACTCTGCATGCCAAACTCTGTCTCAGCATCTGCTGGAGAACTCAACCTGCAACTGATCTGTCACAGCAGGGCTGGAAGGGAGGGAGGTCCATACCTGGGAGCGCCTGGGCTGGTCCTCCCACCTCTCACGGATGGCCAGGTGGGCACGCAGCCCTGTGCCCAGGTGGTTGAGGAAGACCACATTGAGCGGGATGCCCACCAGGGCATAGAAGACACAGAAGACCTGGCCTGCCTCTGTGCTGGGTGACAGGTTCCCAAATCCTGCAAGGGAAGGGGGGAGTGTGCACATATGGGGAAGAGAGAGTCCAGGACTGCATCCACACCTCCTCTCCAGACTCCAACAGAGGTTTCTCTCCTACTACTTCTGGTGGGAGGTGGAGAAGAGCCCTTGTTCCCATGAATTCTGCTAGAATGATTTTTATTGTAGGAATCCTGCTTTTTTGAAGGCTCATCTCAAATAACACTGCCTCCGTGAAGCCCTCCTGACTGCCACTCTCTTCCTCCCTACTGGGTATGAGTCTCCATGGTTTTGTGCCATTCCAATCTAATTACCTGCTTGCTTATATGATTGTTTTTGGTGTACTTAATGTATCCCTCTTTATTGCATTGGGTCTGAGCTTGGGTTGATCTGAGTTTGTAATCTTCTACCACCCACTCCATCATTCTACCTGGAATGTCAACTGAGTTCAAGGAAGGTATGTGGAATTGGACTTAATGGAATGGATGGGGGAGACCTGGGTTAGAAGGGGCCTGGAGCTTCCTTAGGGATGATATGGAATGGATTTTCTGGCTGAGGGGGTATAGCAGACACTGTCAGCATCCTGTCCCCTTGGGACACCAGGGATATCCTCTGCAGCCTTCAGGGACAGTTCCTATATATAACACACCCCCACCCCCGCTACCAGTCCCTCCATCTCTGCCTGAGAGATTTTTATGGCTTCAGGAGCGTGCTTGGTCTATGGCTAGGTAGGTAGGTTTAAAATGCCAGAAAGTTAATATACTCAGGATCAGCTCCCCACCAGTATGGACAGGAGTTGGTAGCTAAAGAGCCCTCATTCTTTTCCCTTGCTGGGACTGTTCCGAGGATAGGCTCTACCTGGCCTCTAGGAGACTCTCAAGCAGAGTGAATCCTGTGACCCAAATCAGTAACCTGCTCATTACTGTAAACTTTATCTTCATCTTCCTGTTTCACCTGCCCACTCCCTACCAGCACTTCTTGAATCATCTCCTAGATAAAACACATCCTTGTCTCAGCATCTGCCTTTGGGAGGCCCCAACTAAGACAGGGGCTTTGGGAAGCCCTTCTCCACCCGGCCCCTTACCTATGGTGGTGACGACCGTGCCTGCAAAGAAGAAACTGCTGCCAAAGTCCCAGTTGCTGGGGTTGGTGGAGTTGCCTTTGGGGTTCACGCCTTTCACCCAGGCTTCCATGATGACCTGTAGTGGGTGGTACAGCGGCAGGGAAAGAGGGAGCTGATGGTTACTGAGCACCAGCTGTCACCATGCTCTTAGCAGGGTGCTTTTGTGTCATCTCATTTAAGGATACTCTTACATAGTATTGTTCCCATTTGGAGGAGAAGGAAAGGAAGGCCCAGACTAGCTAAGTGACTTGCCCAAGGTCTTTGGATTCCAAGCCAGTGCCTGTTCTACTGGCCAGAGCTGGCTGGGGTGTGAGCAGCAAGCATGGGGTGCTGGCGGGAAATGGTTCCAAGCAGGTGAGATGGAAAGGTGGGAGATGCTGCCAGGAGCATGACACATTGTTGGGATAATGGGGGGATTTCAGGCTGGATGTTCCCAGAAGGGTTTTCTGGGGAACATGGGCTTTGGGGTCCACAAGGAAGCCGTGGGGCTGCCTGCCACCCGGGCTGATGGTAGGGGACAGAGAACCCTGTTTCTCTGGTGAGCGGCCTTGCTCATTGCTGCCCTCTAGTGAGCCCCAGCCCATGCCTGCAGGAGAAATTCTGTCCGAGGCCAGGGAAAAGGTGGTGTGCGTGTGTACTGGTTAGAGTATACACGTAGTGTATGTTTTGTGTGTGGCTACTGAATGTTGCATGAGTGTGCATGTTTGTACCTATATGTGTGTTGCATGTGTGTTTACAGAATCTGAAGGTTTGCACGCTCAAACCTAACATGCTCCACCCCCAATCCCTTTTGGAGATGGGCAGGGCTCCCTCCTTCCCTGCCCCCCTGCCCTCTCCCCTTCAGCTGTGAATTGTCCCAGGGCAGCAGAGCAGCTTTGCCATCTGGTAGAGTCCCAGAGGCAAGGGGCAGTGGGAGTGGGGTGGGTATGGCAGCTCTGGCTTCCGGTTCCTGTGGGAACCATCTCCCACTGGCTGGCTGAGTGAGCTCTGGCCAGGGTGGGGGTGGGCCTGGTGGGCTGGGCCAGTCCAGGCGTCTTCAGTCACAGGCTGTCTGCTTCTCATCACTTTGGCAGGAACTGGCCTCCTAAGATGTGGACTTTGGCCTTCCTCTCTTTCCCACATACCCAGAGAGGCTGGGGCCAAACATTCCCTAACATGCTTGCTCCCTGGAGACCTTCAGCCTTGTAGGCAGCACCCTAGTCCTGGGCTACCCACCATGGCCAGCCTGAGGCTCTCTATCCTGCTGAGAAAGGCCTTGACGTCAGTGAGCAGAGGGCGGGTGGGTGGATGCAGGTGGCAGCACCATTTCTTAAGAATCATGTTTAGTGAAGAGATAGACTTTCTAGTTTTGTGAACCGGGGCAAGCTATGTTTCCCCATGGAACCAATTTTTTTTTTTTTTTTTAAGAGACAGAGTCTTACCTCGTCACCCTTGGTAGAATGCCATGACATCACAGCTCACAGCAACCTCCAGCTCTTGGGCTTAGGCGATTCTCCTGAGCAGCTGGGACCACAGGCTCCCACCACAACACCCGGCTATTTTTTTGTTGCAGTTTGGACAGGGCTGGGTTTGACCCCTCCACCCTCAGTATATGGGGCCATCGCCCCACCCAGTGAACCACAGGCGCCGCCCAGCCATGGAACCAATTTTTCAGACTGCTTTTATGGTTGTGTGTGTGTCTGTGTGTGGTATGTGGGTGATTTAAATGATAACGTGTGTTCTCCCAGAATCTGATCCCAGCTTGCTTCTGTTGTCAACTGGACTTTCCCTGACAAGTAAGGGTCTCTCCTGAGGCTGAGTACTCTCAGGGAGAGAGATGTCCTGTGTTCCTGGGGGAGGCCCCCTCAGGCTGCAGGCAAACACGGACCTGGTTAGATCCCAGCCAGCTCGCTTAATATTTTTCCACACCCTCTGGCTCCTGCTTTTGCCTCTAACCCAGGGCTGGGGAAGGAGGAGTTTCAGGGTCTCTAGGGCCTCTGCCTCAGCCCTAGGATTTGAGGAAGCGCCTGAACTTTTCTCAACCCAATATGGCCCCCTGGCCCCAACCTCTACTAACTCTGTCCACTAAGGAGTGAGGAAGTGAAACCTGAAGCCAGAGGCCTATTTCCTGGAAGAAAGAGCCAGACTGGTCTCTTACAGTTCCCGAAGTTCTGATCACGTAGCTCACACATCATGTTCTAGACCAGGTGGAGGGGCGGGGTGGCGTCAGCATCACCTGGAGGGTGTGTTAACACACCACCTGTGGGCCCCAGCCCTGGAGCTCCTGGGGTGGAGTGGGGCCCAAACATTTGCATTTCTAACAAGCTCCCGGAGATGCTGCTGCTGCAGAGGGTGGTGATTACAGTTTGTGCAGCAAGCCCTGCTCTAGGCTGTATCCTGATCCCGGCCCTTATGCGGATGGATGTGGTGAAGAACAAGGACAGCCAGAGGCCTGGGTGCCAGCTGTGTTTCCACTGGTAACTGCAGCGTTGGCCAACATACTCTACCACTCTGTGACTCGGGTCCCATCTACAAACTGGAGATAGTGATAGTGAGGTAATTATGAGAAAATGCCTGTACAACACTGTGTCAGGTAATGGTCATGATTGGATTAAGCCAGTCATGAAGGTCCTATTTCCCACTGGTTTAGGGACATCATAAATGGTCAGTAAATGCCAGTTATCATGATGATTCTGTACTTGGTCTGGTCCTTTGTAGAGGGTATTGTCACTTGCTCAACTCCAACTCAAATGCATCCACCTTTCCCCATGATACCTGGTTTTGCCTTGTTTTTGGGAGAGAGGGAAGCAGAAGGGGCCCAGGAAGGGGGTGACCTGCTCTGCCACCAAGAGAGAGCCCTCCATCAGTGCAGTGCTGACAGGGCTCAATCACCCTGGCCATGTCCCATCCAGCCCAGCTCCAGGTGGAACGAGGCAGAGGAAAGCCAGCTTGGTGGCTGTTCCACACATTTTTATTTATTTATTTGAGACA